GGTGTTTCTGCTTTAGGGAGGACGGTCTGGGAGACCTGCGTGAGCAGGAAAGGGAAGACCTGCAAGATGTCCTCTGCCAGAGGAGGGGCAGCCAGCCCCAGGAAAGGGGGCACTGTGACCTCCCCGCACACTCTGAGCACAGGGGTGGGTGTGTCTGCGGTCCCTCTTGTGTGAGTCCCCGGAGAGCAGGGCCTCTTGCGCTCGCCCCTTCGCCTTGTCCACGGCGCTGACAACAGTGCCTGTCACACGCGTGCTGGGCAGCCCAATGAGTGTTTGGGTTCAAGGACCTTTTGGTGGCATCTGACCTCTCCCAGAACATGAGGATAACGGCATGTGGGGCGAAGAGATGTGTGTTACTCTTGAGAGTACTTTTTGAGTTTCCTTACTACTTAAATGAAACTCTTTAATTACTCCACCTTAAGCCTTTCTCAGAACACTCGAAGCATGTCTAGAGTAATTCCAAGTAGGTATTATACTTTAAAGAATTAAAACGTGCGAGTAACTTTTTTATTCAACAAATAAAGGCAGCTTTCCTTCTTGAGTATTTTCTTGCCACTCCTACAGAGAGAATTTACATAGACAATATTATATATAGTTATGGATATACTATAATATGTTATGTTATATATTAGTGGTTTCCAGACCTGACTTCATTTTAGAATCTTAAGAGAGTCTCTTTTAAAAACAATAGAATTCTGAACCATACCCCTACAGAGTCTCATTCAGTCACCTGTTTGGGGAATGATCCTTAACATTTGTACTTTTAAAATCTTCTGTATTTATTTTAATACGGGTAGGCTAGGGAGAAGGTGCCCTAGGTGCTTCTGATAGGAGTACAGGGTTGGTTAGAAAAAATTAGCCAGGCCTGGTAGTACGTGCCTGTAGTCCCAACTACTTGGGAGGCTGAGGCAGGAGGATCGCTTGAGCCCAGGAGTTTGAAGTTGCTGTGAGCTAGGCTGACGCCACGGCACTCTAGCCCAGGCAACAGAGCAAGACTCTGTCTCAAAAAAAAAAAGGATACAGGTTTGGGAGCCATTGGCTGGGATCATAAGAAACATTTCAAGATGAGGTAGATGCTTCCTAAATTGTCTGTGCTCGATGGGTCAGTACAGCGCCTGGCACATAGTGAGCTCTCGGATGTTAACTGTTGTGAGGCTGGTGAGTAGAAGAGTTTACTGAAAAGAACAATGACTGTCAAGAGCAAAAATGTAAGAAAATGGTACACTTTGGGGGAGCGATAAAACATTCAATGCCCACATAAAATAAGAATTCTGAGCTGTGATAAAATAGTTGCTTTATTTTTCTTCAGCTAAGTTTTGGATGGGATAACAAGTAAAATCCCTTATCTCTTCTCTAACCTGTTCAAAATCGTGATCGAATTTTTCCTTCCAAAAAGATTCCAAAGGCCAATTTAGCTTCCAAAGACAAAGTTGGCTGTCACTTAGATGGTTGATTGTTTTCAATTCCAGTTTAGTTAAGGTTTAGCTTTTAAAGGGTCATTAAGAATTCTGATGACTATAGTCAATTTGCTGCAATTTAGGGCAAGGGGTAGTAATTACAATTTGTAAAGCATTGGAGGACAGGTAATGTTTTTATTCTGTGTTCTGTCCTTTATTTTTTTAATATTATCCCCCCTTCCCACTGACAATTCTTAGTTTGTGTTTAACTTTAGGATTAAAAAAAATATATATATGTATATATATATATATATATTTTTTTTTTTGAGACAGAGTCTCACTTTGTTGCTCAGGCTAGAGTGAGTGCCATGGCGTCAGCCTAGCTCACAGCAACCTCAATCTCCTGGGCTCAAGCGATCCTCCTGCCTCAGCCTCCCAAGTAGCTGGGACTACAGGCATGTGCCACCATACCCAGCTTGTTTTTTGTATATATGTATTTTTAGTTGGTCGATTAATTTCTTTCTATTTTCAGTAGAGATGGGGTCTCGCTCAGGCTGGTTTCGAACTCCTGACCTTGAGCAATCCCCCCGCCTCGGCCTCCCAGAGTGCTAGGATTACAGGCGTGAGCCACCACGCCTGGCCAAAAAAATATTTTTAATTACTATGGATTATGATAATTGTACATAGTTATAGGGTGCATGTGATATTTTGATACGAGCATACAATGTGTAATGATGAAATCAGGGTAATTAGGGTATCCATCACCTCAAGCATTTTCCGTTTCTTTGTGTTCTAGTGTGTGTTCATATGCATATGATACTTATGTATGCAGACTTAGGGTACACATCTGGATAGTATAGATGTACACAAGAGAGTTGCGTATACATTATAAATTGATTCACCTTAAAGATATTTATTGAATATCAAACCACAGACTGTCTACTGGGTTCTAGGATACAGTGGCAAACCAAACAGACGTGGTTCTTGACACCCAGAAGACATTTGTTGAATGATTTGGGTGATGACTTGCAGGGTAGTACTTTTGTACTAGAGAAATGTATGCCAGATTTCATGAATTTTGTAGATGGTGGCACGTGATCACATTTAAGTCAATCTTTAGTCCATGTGCTCTCGAACTCCTGACCTCAAGCGATCCTCCCATGTGGCCTCCCACAGTGCTAGCATTAAAGGCATGAGCCACCATGCCTGGCCCCTAAGTCAAGCTTTAGTCCATGTGCTGGTGGACATTTCATTGGTGTGTCCAAGAAGTTTCCCTCAGAACTCCAGTGTAAGCTGGATCTTTCTAAAGTACCATTAGTAAATTGAACATATGCCCCTTAAAGGTAATTTTATGTAAACACTTAGGAAATCTTTCTTGGAGTGGTGGACTGTCCAGGATAAGTCAGGTCATGTCACTGGCTGAACATACCAGGGGAACATTTGGCACCACATTGTGTCCCCTTCGGGAATGGCTGGAATTGATAGCATTGGTTTCATGGTCAACATTTGAGAACCCATGGCGGGGGCAGATTTCCCCTTCGTGTGAGCATGTAATAAATCAGGGTTTCAGTTCTAAAGCTTACCCAGGACCTTGTAGCTTAATTCAACTTCAGATAGTACTCAAGGTGGGAGAGAGTCTGGCTTGAAGTTTTATTTACTTTCTTTAAAAAAATTTTTCTTTCTTTTTTTATTTTGGCATATTATGGGGGTACAGATTTTAAGGTTTCAATAAATGCCCTTTCCCCCCTCCCCCCACAAGTCTGAGTCTCCATCATGACCATCCCCCAGATGGTACACATCTCACTCATTATGTATGCATATACCCGCCCCCTCCCCCCTCCCACCTGCCCAGAATTTTTCTTTTTTTTAAGATGGGTCTTGCTATGTTGCCCAGGCTGGACTTAAACTCCTGGGCTCCTGCAATCCTCCTACCTCAACCCCCTGAGTAGCTGGGACTACAGATGCATTCCACCCTGCCTGGCTTGCTTTTATAAAATCTTGATATGGTAATTGCCTATATATACTCTCTTTTTTCTTTGATCTTTTACTTTTCCAATTTTTTTGTTGTTGTTGTTTTTTCACTCTGTACAATTTTCCTTTGTTTTCTCAATTGGTCCATATTAATCCAGCATAGCTATCACTAACCACAATCTCTGAGTCTTTTTAGAGTTGAGCATCTACTATGTGTCAGAGACCATGGCGAACTCATGTCATCTCATTCAGTTCTGAAAATAACTTATGGGATAGTCACTTATCATTTCTCCTTTCTTAGCTGAAGAAACCTGGGCACAGAAAGTTAGGTAAATTTGCACAAGGTCCCAGAATTAGTAAGCAGTGGAATTTGAATCTGGATAAATTAACACCATAATTTGGGTTCTTAATTTTCATGCCTAACTTTGCTAGAGGCAGAAGAGGGAGGTGGGGAAGGTTAGTAAGAGAAATAGTGTGGCCTCCCCCAGGAACCAGCAAGCACAGTGCCTGGCCTGTAGAAAGTGCTCTTGATTACTGCTGCTGATGAGTGCAGTCATTGCACCTGGATGTTTCTCTCTTACTGCTTCCATTTATTGGTCCTTAGGCTTACCAGTAATCTGCCCACTTTGCTCCACTCTGCACCTTTCCTCCCTCCTCCCAGTGATCTGCCCCTCCCCCAGTCTCCATGAGCTATCATCACTTCCTACCAGAACCATTGCAGTAGTCAATCTTGCCTGTCTTCCAGTTGGCTGTAAACATAGCAGCCACAGAGACCTTTCTAAAAACTTAGATCTGAGCTCATCACCCCCCTGCTTGCAATCTCTCAGTGGTTTCTTGTTCATCTTGGAACAAAATCAGTGACCTTTCCCTATCCTACCAATCCTGCCTGGTCTGACCCTGGTCACTGCTTAGCTATCATGGGTACCACGATTTTTCCACACTCTATGTTGTCCAGCGACAGCAGGTCCTCCTGCTTAACGCCCCACCTCGGAGTTCTTGCGGGTGTTGTTACTACTGCCTGGAAGCGTCTTCCACACCCCCCTGTCTCACTCGGAGCTCAGCCCAGAGGTCCCTGCCTAAGGGAAGCCTTCAATTTTAAGTCTTTTACCTCTCAGTAGCAGTCATCACATTTATCATTATAGGTTTATGTGATTAATTAATATGTGTTTCCCACTAGACTGTAAACTCTCTAGTGTTTCCACAGTGCCTGGAACGTAGAAGGTATTCTGTGAACATTTATGGAATAAAAGCAAGAACGAATGAATAAATGAGCAAAGACTAAACAGAGCCAGAAAGAGTTTGGCTGAGACTCCTGGCTGGATATTTCCTATTTTTTAGAGGGAAGTTAGTTTGATTATGGCTTAAAGAGGTTGCATTATTTTCCAACCATTTATTTTGGAGATAAACTTAGGCACAGAGAGGTGAAGCAACTTGCCCGGAGTGCACAGCCGTCAATGTCAGATGCCTTTGTTCTGACCTTTGAATTGTGTGTAGGGCCACATACGGTGTTTTCAGAACTCTGCAGGGCATCTTTGGTGTGCTGTCTGTAGGAGCTGCATCAGTATTTGAAAATATTGATGTTGTCATGTCTGCGTCTTAAAAGTGTTTTTTTTTTTTTTTTTGAGAACATGTATGGTTATTTTTATTTATTTTTCTTCTTGTATACCACTGCGTTCAGAACTGGGTTGAATGACAGCTTTGTGTGTCCTGGAAGACACTTTGAGGCAATATGTGTTTTGTTAATACTTGCACCTGGACCGGGCGAGGACAGCCGTCCCAGTATTCTCGGGGTCTGGGGGTAAGAAAAGCTGCGTCCGATTTGTGGGATCAAGCTCCCCACACGCCTGTGCACAGATGCAAGACAGCCAGAGGTGTGTGATGAGTGGACGCCCGAGATCTCCCACACTGCAAAGGGACACGAACGATCCCATAACCCTCCCTCCCAGGTTGTGTGACTCCATTAAGTGTTAAAAATTCACCGGTATGTGAAATGACCTCTCTCTCCAAGTTCTCTAATAACGTGCAGTCCTGCAAGCCTGGACCGGTCCCTGAGCTGGGGAAGGCTAAACGAGCATCTCAAGGTGCTCGCCTGGCAGCTGGGTTTCCTTTCTGGCTGTGCCTGGGTCCTTGAGCAGCCCCCTTTGTGGTGTGAGGCAGCGTTTTTGTCCTGCAGGTACAGAAGGTACTGGATTAAACAGGTCTGCTGTTGCAGACAGACACCAGGCTCCGTTGTAGCGCAGAGCTGTGTTTGGATTGGAGTTTCCAGGGCCTTATCAGGAGCCACCCCTAGTGACACAGCCGGTGCCAGAACTAACTTTGACTTTCACTCTTCGCCAAGGGCTTGCAGAACACCTTAAAGGAAAAAAGATGGAGGCGCTTAGAGTTCAGATGTTCATGCCATGCTCCTTTGAAAGCTTGTATCTGTAAGTGAAGTTTTATTCTGGAAATAACCCTGGGACCACTTAACAGGAGCCGGTTTCTTTTTTTTCTTTTTAAGGGGGAGGATAGAGGAAGGGAATGTTTTATTGGAAGTTAAAAATACTGAAGCTGTTACTTTGCGATTGGGTCTAATCAGCTTCAGCTTGTAACCTCTGCTAGGTGGAAATGACAAGGATTACAACTGGTTTGTGGGGTTGGGGGGGAATGGAAATGCTAGCCCATTATCTTTGCCTTCTGGCTTAAAATAGAATGTTGGTCTTCAGTTAATAATGACCAAAAAAACCTGACTGCTTGAAAAATCTGAGTGAGAACAGAGCTTGATTTATGATTGCAAGATAGACTGCAGAACAGCTTTGTTATGAATAAAAAAAGAATTTTCTGCAGGAAAATAGTGTGCTCAGTACAGTAGTAACATTTGTCAAAACTGCCCTGTTGTAAAGACTTTGGATTTTTAGTTTCTATGCCCCCCCTCATTTTCTTCTGACTGTGCAATAGTAACGATTGTGTTAATAAACACCTCATTTGCATTTTTGTATACTGATTTTGTTGTTATTGTTGTTGAGGGGAAAACAAAACATCCAAACATCAGAATCATCTGCCTGGCATGTATATGTGTAGAACAAGTTTGAAACTGGCAGTTTCAAAGAAATACTAAAATGGAGAAAGACTAAATGGATGACAGTCCCCTCCCATCCCCCCCTTTAACATTTACTTTCACTGTTAGGTGATAAGATTTGAAAACAATACTGAAAGCTGTGTCCCTAAGTGAATAGGCATTCAAGCAAATCAACTTATGCAAAAGCCACCTCTGGAGCTTAATAATTATTTACCGAACGTTCCTGGGTCATGAGAGAGGTTCTGATTAAGGCAGAAAAGCATTATGTTCAGCAGCTTGTGAAGGTGTGTTTAAAGACGGCAAGAATAATGGAAAAATACTAGATGGAGCAGAACTATTTTTAGAATTTGATTCTTAAAAAAATAAAACTCCCCTCAGTTTAAGTGTGGGTTAAAGCTGATCGTTTTCAGTAGATACATCTTTAAAAGGTGCTATAAAAGGTAGTTTTAAAAATGATTTCTAATTTCTTATGCTTCTATTTTTGCTGTATTTAGTGTGCTTTAATAGATGCTTTAGGTTTTTTTCATTCTATATGTCATTTAAAGAGTTTGATTATTCATCTCTGTAAAATGATGGAGCATTTTACGGGCAAAGTATCCATAGTTTTGTATTTAAAATGTCATTATGCTAGAAATGTTGTAAATTTTGCCTTTTAAATCAGACAAGAGTTGGGGAGATGATGTCTGTTCTTTGTGATTCATACCCTGTAAGAATGTACTGTATAACTTACTGGGTTTTTAAAATATTAATTTTAAGCCACTTAAGGGATGGCATGAACGGCTGAAACTTGCCATTCGCGATGCAGCGTGAGGACAGTAGTAATGTCAGACCTGAATTTACACCCAAATTAATTCTTAATTTTGAATTTGTTTTTTTTTAGTTAATTCAAATACTTATCATAGGAGCATGCTTCCCTTATAAACTCTCAGAATGAAATTCTTAGCAAATATCTCTGACAAAGCTTGTTCCCTGGGCTGTTGCCCATTAACTTCTTTGCACCTGTTTTTTCAGGAGGGCACCCACTGTGAATTAATTGTTTGTTTTGTATTTTCCTCTAGGAAGGCAAAGGAACACAATAGCAGAAGGCAACATTCTAGAAAGTTGGCTCCCTAGAAAGTAACTTGTCAGTTTTCACTAGTTTTTTAGATATTAAGATGTTAAGAGGATACCATTTCAGGAATTGGAACACGGTGTAGAAGAATTCACTGCCTAACCTGTACTCATTGTCTCCATTGTTTGTGGATCATTCTAAGCATCCTGCCTGTATTAACACATTTAATTCTCACAACTGCTCTGTGAGGAAGGAACTTTTTTCCACCTCCCATTTTGCAGATGAGAAAATGAGGTAACTCATACAGTTAGGAAATAATAGAGCGAGGATTTCAACTCAGGCATTCTGGCCCTGGGGCTTATGCTCTTATCTGTTACATTCTCTGGATTTTCACTTAACATGCCAACCAAATGAATCTGCATAGATTCATTCTTTCTCTGCTTTGTTTTTTTTTTTTTTTTTTTGAGACAGAGTCTCACTTTTTTGTCCAGGCTAGAGTGAGTGCCGTGGCGTCAGCCTAGCTCACAGCAACCTCAAACTCCTGGGCTTGAGCGATCCTTCTGCCTCAGCCTCCCGAGTAGCTGGGACTACAGGCGTGAGCCACCATGCCCGGCTAATTTTTTATATATATATCAGTTGGCCAATTAATTTCTTTCTATTTATAGTAGAGACGGGGTCTCGCTCTTGCTCAGGCTGGTTTTGAACTCCTGACCTTGAGCAATCCGCCCGCCTCGGCCTCCCAAGAGCTAGGATTACAGGCGTGAGCCACCACGCCCGGCCTCTGCTTTGTTTTTGAATGGGTTTCTCCCACCCTCAGATTTCTGAATTACCAAACCATAACTCAGTAGAGCTTTTGAGGGGCTACAGTTAGTCCCGGTGCCGTGGTGTTTGTCTGTCAAATGTATTTCCCTGAGTCCAGTTCACTGTTAATTATCAGGGAACTGTTTGGGGCAGGAGAAAACTATATGAAAATGTATCCATTGATTGTACTATCTCTTCTGACTTGAGAAATCTTGAAATGTGGAGGGAAGGTTCCTGTTAGAATTAAAGAAACAGGGTAGCTCCCTAGAGCTCAAGAGTTCTTCAGCCCTGAATGATTCAAGCAAATGACTTTAATAAAGATCCTCCAACACTGATGTTCTCGTGTTATGTGATTTGATGAGGTAGAGTATTTGTTAGGAGAGAAACACCAAATTTACCCGTTGAGCAAACATTTGTTTTACTGTGTGCTTGGGGGTGCCTGAGTGAGGAAACATGTAAATAGCTCTGCCCTCAGGGGGCTGATTCGGCCAGGTCATGAAGGACCAGGTACATACCTGCCTCTTCTTTAAGTCTGGACCTCATCCTCATGGTCCAGAATGGCTTCTAGAGCTCTAGCCATTTCTGCACGTGGCAGAGGATTCAAGGACAGGTATCTTTTGAAGGAGATTTCCTGGAAGTACCACATTTCTGCTTAAATCTCGTTGGCAAAACTTAGCATGGGGCCCACCTACCTCTGGAAATCTGGGAGATGTTGTGGGTGGGGAGACAATAGGAGAATGGGTGCTAGATTGTTTGAATTGTAGTTCTTAGGCTCACACTTTTTTTCCCCCTCCAAAATTACTCATATTTTCTAAAATGTCACAAAACTCAGCTGTGGTATCCCAGGGTACGTCAAACTGGCTTAAGCCAAAGTGGAGATTGATTGGTCCTTTTGAATCACTGTTCAGGGTTAGTACAGGGCTATCATGGCTTCAGATATGGCTTGATCCAGGTGCTCAAAGTCATCTAAATACTGGCTTCCTCTTTGTTTTTCTTCTTCCTCAGTCCTCTCTCCCTTCTTTACTGTTTCATCTAGTTTGGCTTTCTTCTCAGATAGACCTAGGAGTTCCAGATGTATGTTCTACCAGCTTTTCAGGCCTTAGTATAAAGAGAGTTAGTTTACTCCTGTAGTTCCAGTGAGAGGCATAGTGGTGGCTCTTGTTGGACAGTCTTGGGGCCATTCCCGAGTGAGTCCTTGTGACCAGAGGAATGGATATACTGATTGGCCAGGCCTGGGTTGTCCTTGCATGTTTGGAGGTAGTAGCAACAGCATAACCTCATGCACTGAAAGTGACGGAGCTGGCTCTTCCAAGTGAAATCAGGCTACTTTCCAAGGAAACAGGACAGGGTGCTGGGCAGATATAAATGCCATGGGACCCCCTTCTTCTGTCTTGATGTCAACACAGTGTTGCAAACTTTGCGCCTTGGCAGATCTGTCCTAGACATGCAGTGATTGTTAAGTGATGGTAGTCTAAGGCTTTTGCTCTTCTACAGTGCTCTTCTGCAGTGCTGTCTAGACAAGTAGATAAAGCATGGCTTGTGATTGGGATAATTATCTGAGTAGGGATAGAGGGCTTTCTGCCTTTAAAAAGTTCCTTCTGTTTACTTTCACACTCATGTCTGAATTATGTTTTTAGATTTTGTCCTAATTTTGGGTTTAAAAAAATGTTCTTTCTTTTAAAATACTCTTGGGGTGGGGCATCTTGCCATGCCATATCAATTACTTATACCTTATAGGAGACGAACTTTTCAGAGCTTTGTAAACACATTGACTGCCACTTTAGAAAAAAAAAAATGTTTTTTTTTCTTGGGGCCACGGTGTTTTATTATGAAAATAGAACAAAAACTTCGAAAACAAAATGATGCTTTCTAATCTAATGAAAAATTTGTTATTCTTTATTGTTTTCTGCACGCGAGTTACATGCAGTTTGAAAAATAGTTTTTGCGGCTCCCAAGATGAAGAGACATGTGAGTTAGGTATGTTTCACGAGACCCCAGGCTCAAAACTAGCGTGCGTTAAATACAACTCACACGGCAGTTAATGTGTTAAAACGTGGTAGCGAGATGTGAATGGGATTCCTTCGCTGGAGAGAGGAAGCAAGAAATCTAGAGTGTGGTCTAGTGGAAGGAAGCTCGGTATGAAAGATAGAAAACTTGAGTGTGGGGCACTTCAACTTCATCTGCTTTATCACCTTGTGATGAACCGACTCTCAGAGGTGGTTTCCTTGAAGGGAATTCGGTGTTAGGAGTGTGCCAGCCCACCGTGGCATCTGTGGGACATGAAGCTCTGTCGTGCTCATGAGATGAGAAAATGGCAAATGTCATATCCTTGGTTTAAAATATCTTTTAGTAAAGCACCTGAAATTCTCCTTAGTTGGAGTATATAGAATTGGGAGACACTTTGGGAGTGATAAAAAGAAACAACTTAAGAAAAAAAAAAAAATCTGGTGATGTTTTTCACTGGATTGCCTAAAAGAGCATTGTTCATATATTCCAGAGGTCTCTAAGTGTTTTTT